ATTAAATTACTATTCACAATCAACAAAAGTTTATTTGAAGTAAAATGATTACTTATTTATATATTCTATAAAATATTTTTTATAAAGTATTCAAACATTCACGACCTCCGCCCGGGGCAACGCCTGAGTAAAACACTAGTTGTCTATTATCCATTAAATAAATTTGTTTCTCAAAAGGCCGGGTTTTGCTCAAAGAATTTTGTGTAGAGAGTACTGCACTACATGACTTTTATATAACAACATACGAGTACCTTTTTATGATGTTTTTACTTGGACTGAAATTATTTGGTCTTATTTGATATGGTCTGGTCTGGTCGGATAAATGTCTGGTCTCTGTGTATTTTATAACTATATAATTCTGATCTGGTTTAATTGGTCTATTCTTGTATGATCTGATCTGGTCTGAGAATAAAAATAGTCCAAATACAAACATCCCTTGTGTATTAAACCCCTTTGGATAGCTACTTACAAATTCTCATTAAGGTTGGATTTTGGTGATGTTTGTAGATTCTGAAGTAAAAAACACTGCAAACATTCTTATAGTTTTCATATAATCTATTAGAATGTTCATATATACTCCGTAGAATCAATGAATTTTTATTGACTTTATCAATTTTTAAAATTTTTTTTTAAAGTTCTATATTTGGAACATCCATTAATTCACTATGGGCGACGTAGGTATGGTAATGTAATTCAAAGCATTCATTTTGACTTGGAAATCCATTCAAAGTAGGTCTGCGACTAACTACAGAATTTTCAGCTTTATTTATTGCACACTCATTGTTAGAAAAACAAAACGGTATTTACGCTAAAAGTGATTTATTTAGGTTGAAAACGCTAAATTGAGATTAGGCTAAGTATTTGTGACACTCATATCTTGAAGTGTGTTCTTCTGTTTAGAACATATTATATCTCGTTGGAAAGACAATTTTGAGCTCTAAAGCTTTTGTTCCAACTTCAATTACAATGCATTAAGTAAAAGGTAAAGATTAACCATAAATTCACAAATATTTCAGATTTCACTCCGAACTCGTTTAGAATTTGATCCGATCATATCTTGCTCTGTTTTGTCCCGTGGAAGACGTTTTCTATCTCATTGGAAAGATCTTATCGAGCTCTAAAATTTATGTTCAGGCGCCGGTTTCGAATTATCAAAGGATGATTGCCTATTTTGTAAAACAAAACGGTATTCTAAAAGTGTTCTATTTAGGCTGAAAACGCTAAATCATACAGAATGTTCAGCTTTATTTATTTCACTCATTGTTAGAAGAAATGCTGCAAGAACGTGTGGTGGACTTCACTAAGAGCGGGATTGATATGAGGCCGTATTTGATAGTAGTGAAGTAAATATTCTCAAGTATGACTGAAAATAATGTGAAGTTTTATAATTTTTCTGTATAACAGTATAAGAGTATATAAATTTGTCATTCTAAAATAATAGTGAAATAATTTGACAAAACTTGAAACTATTATTTGAAATAATCACTCTTACTTGCATAAAAAAGTATAGTTCTATTTTGAAATTTGATAGAGTATTAGTCTACTCTTATTTAGCACAGTTGCTTTAACATTAATTAATTTACTATAAAGTTGATACTCAAAATAGGTGTAAATACAGACACATTTCTAAAGTAGAATTAAATTTGTTTTCTTATCAAAAAATTACAATATTTTAATAGGATCAAAATATTATTTTATTTATTAAAAGAATAAAAGAATAAAAAAATTCTAGATAGCAATGCGCAGTTGCGCACACAAGACCTCTCTTGAAAGCAAAAAATTGTCAAATAAGTTACCTACTTTTATTAAAAAGTTAATCGGATCCGCATGCTGTTCAATGAGTCAACCAAATAAGCGAAGTGAAATGATCAAATCAGGTATTTAGTCAATTGAATTGATTGCCAGTAAAATACCCAATTTCTTTAGATTTTGACACTTTGTGGAATTAATTGATTTATTAAAGAATATGTAGACTTAATTGACTTTTTAGTAATAACAAGTTCTTATTTAATACTCCGTAACAACTTTGAATAACGGTATAGTGGTTTGACAGTTTTTGTAATAACAAGTTCTTATTTAATCGTAATTATAATTTCCCCTGGTCATCTTACCTCCAATATAGTAATACGGTATAGTGGTATACAGAGTAGTTTGAAAATAAAAGTTAGGATGTGTTTTCAGCCTCAGATCAGACCAGACAAGATTTAAATAGATCAGACCAAGCCAGACTTAAATAGACTAGTCTAGATCAGACCAGATCAGCAAATTTCAGTCCAAGTAAAAACATTCTTACTCTTAGCATGTTTTCTTTTGGACTGTTTTTAGTCTGAGACTCTGAGAGCAGACCAGGTTAGACTTAAACAAACCAGACTTAAAGAGACCAGACCAAACCAGACTTCCATAGCTATAAAATACATAGAGACTAAACATTTATCGGACCAGATCAGTTCAGACTAGATTAGATCAGACTTAAATAGACCAGACTAGACCAGACTTCAATAGCTATAAAATACATAGAGACCAAACATTTATAGACAAGATCAGTTCAGTCTAGATCAGATGAGAATTAAAAAGATGAGACCACAAAATTTCAGCCAAAAAAACATCACACTAATACAAGCACATAAACAAATGAATAACATGTTTGGATGAACGGTATGCGTTCTAGCCAAATACCGATATGTGGCTATTCTACGTCGATCGATCGATCGGTCCATGTGCCTTGGCTTCTTCATAAAGCACCTTGGCCTGCTGAGTGGCACATAAAATTCCAACTTCAATCAGTATTAAGAAGTGTTTGCAAGGGATTAAAAAAAACACTTTTTAGCTTTTGGCTTAAAAAAAGTTGAAATTGGTGTTTGCTAATGCCTGCTTCTACTTAAATTAAGCACTTTTAATCCAAAAGCTGGAAGTTGGGATAAGGTAGCTTCTAACTGCTTCTTGTTTTTCTTGTAAATTATTCCAACTTTGGGGATGATTATTATGATAGATATAACCACCAAAGTACACAATACCCTTATCACTTACCCAACATCTGACATCTGCACCTCGATCTTGCTCTCTTCCTCGTTGCACCTTGATCTCTCTGGTCCGTCACATAGTTTTTTTTTTGAGATATTACCCAAAATAGGACTAAAAGAGTTTGAAAATTCCAAAATAGGACTGTCATGTTTTTATTCCCAAAACAGGACTAATTACTGACATGTTTTGGCAGTACCAGACTTCAAACATGACAGTATTTTCGAAACTTGGCAATAATCACTCCTATTTTGGGAATAAAAACATGTCAGTCCTATTTTGGAATTTTCAAACTCTTTTAGTCCTATTTCGGGAACTTTCCCTTTTTTTTTGGAAGAAGTCCATCACTTAGCTTCCCGATAGAAGTCTGTCACTTAACTTCAGAGGAGGAAGACGATCCGTTGTTATTTCTTTTGCAAGAAATCTTCTGTTTTCATCTTAATTTTTTTTCAAGGAAGTCCATCTTAATATTATATATCTATATATTTACATATATATATTTATGTATATATGTCTCTATGCATATAAATGTTTGTATATGTTGAATTATTTGGATAGAAAAAAAGGCCACGGGAGCTGGTCGAGTGGCTCTCCACCTTTTCCTCTTCAATTTCTCAATTTGTCCTATAAGGGTATTTGTGTATTTTGATAATTTATTACATCAAAAATCACTTTTCTACCAAACACTTCAACTTTTACACTTTATTCACAATCACTTCTATTCCCAAACACTACCTACTTTTAATGCAAATCACTTTTCCTAAAATCTCTTAAAAAAATCACTTTTGAAAAGCACAAGCAATCGCAAACACTCCCTTACAAGTCAGCTTCTACACACTAATAATTACGGAGTAAATATTATACCTAAGTTATGGGTCCATGAAACTGTTTTTAGTAACATTTTAGTGTGAAACTTACTCCTATTATTATACCAGTAGATATTATTAATTTATTATTGTAGCATCACATCAATTAAACTTCAACGAAGATCGAATTGAGATTAAAAAAAGTAACAAGGTATATGTAATTATGTAGGGTTGATGTAGAACGTAGACAAATGAACTAAATTACAATTGCATTATGTTAAAAGAGAATTAATTAACATTACCTAATGGAAAGAGGAGTCACAAGGAATATGTAAGATTTGAGTTCAAATCTCACTCTCTTTTCGCCAGTGTTTCATCAAAGTTCAATTTAAATCATTGTAAATAGTTGTGCTAGTAAATCTTGGAGCCATCAAGCTTTTTTAGAAGTGACGAAGTTTTGGAACAAAAAGTAAAAGAAAAACTGGCTAAGACATGGGTCAGCTTCTTCTATTGAGTGATGCTTCATATACCCATTTTTTTGTACATATTTCGTGTATAGCCTCCTCAGTTGTCTGTCCGTAAGACAATTTCTGAATGAATTGTGTGTGTACATAGACATTTAAAAGGTGTACACATAATGTACACAAGAAGTGTATAGAAATATATTTTTTCATTCTATTACTTACGTGTTCAGTTTTTAGTAATTACACATATAGCAAAATACGAAGTATATGCATACATTTACATTTTCCTTACTATTATTTCATTCTCTCTTATGTCTTTTCATTTTCTTTTATATTACCTCCGTCCCGCTAAGATGTTCCTATTTTGACCTACATACATATTAAGGAAATAAACTTACCTGCAGGGGATAAAGTTTACTGTTTTGACACTGTTTCGACAATGTTTGACACTGTTTTGATGTAGGATAATTTTCCATTTAGGGAAATGAGAACTTCATTTTGGGACTGTTAAAAAAGGAAAGCGGGAAGATCTTAGTGAGACAGAGGGAGAGTATTAATTAGTACACATATCCTAATACAAAACTCTATCCGTCTATCATAAAACTCAATAAAAGCAAATAAACATAAAGTGGAATTACATAACAGTGGATGAAAAAAGAGTTTATCAATAATGTAATGCATGTATGTACCACTCTCATCATTGTGTTTGTTGCTTAAAGCTTGGCACTCTGTCTTTCCCCTCCCTCCACACCACAACCCACTCTATCTCATACATCCATCATTTCCCTCCTCTCATTCAGCATTCAGAAATAATTGTCCCAAACAATCTTAGCTAGATATACATACCTTACATACATCAAACAGATAAAAGAATCTTTTATATGTACCCATACACATATGCCTAGCTACCTAGCCAGAGGCTAGCTTGATAGTTAGTTATTTTCATTCATTTTAGGCTAAGCTATATATATATCATCATCATGAGCAGGACAATGGAAGGTAGCAACAATGGTGGCAGTCTCAACTTTCCCCTGCAATTGCTTGAGAAAACAGAGGATATTTTTTCACTGTCAAATCTGTCATCCTCCTCTTCTTCTGCTTCTCAAGTGATAACCCTGCAACAAGATTCAAACAAGAAGCCTCTGGCTAAGAGGGCTTCCACTAAGGACCGCCACACTAAGGTGGACGGCCGTGGACGGCGGATCCGCATGCCGGCGACCGCCGCCGCCCGGGTTTTCCAGCTCACTAAGGAATTGGGTCACAAGTCAGACGGAGAGACCATCGAGTGGCTCCTCCAGCAGGCTGAGCCGTCGGTGATCGCTGCCACCGGGACCGGGACCATTCCGGCGAACTTCACTTCCCTCAACATCTCCGTCAGAAGCTCCGGGTCAACCATGTCGGCGCCGTCGCACATGAGAAATCTCAACAGTTACTTGCACGGGTATTCCCATCTGAGGCTAATGGAAGAGTCCCAGCGGCGGATAATGCTCGGGTTGTCGTCGGATTACTCCTCTGCCGCGGCGGCGGCGTTGAATTTCGGGTTTTGTAGCAATAATAGCGGCGACGATGTGAGCGTTGCATTGTTTCCGGCGAAGCAGGAGGGGGATCGGCATCCGCCGGCGTTTCAGAACTACATGTCAGGAAACTATATGATGCAGTCAAGCTCCGGGTGCATTCCGGCGAGTCAGGGCCAGTTTCCGGCGACGACGACATTGCTCAGAATGGCAAGTAGCAATAATCCGACGACTACCAGCGGTCAAATGATGTCCGGTCATGAACCCTGTTTGTGGGCCCTGCCTGCCAGTATCGGCGCTGGCCCAAATAACGGTGGACTGCATTTGATGAACTTTTCGATGCCGGTCGCGGCAGTGAGCGGCGGCGGCGGTACGGCGGGGGAAGGGCAGCCGACGGGGATGTTTGGGTTTAGGTCAATGGAAGATAGCCGGTAATTAATTAAAGTAATAACAGTCGACATTCTTGCCTTTCCAAGTAATAATTGTAATCAAATCAGTCAAGGAATAACGATGTATGGATTGAATTGCTATTTTTGCGTTATGTTCCCTTCCTCTAAATCAGAGCTACCATTTAGGGCTTCTCCAACTATGTGTGCCCTTTTTTGGCCAAAATGATGTAAACATTCTATATCAAACAATATTTTGATTCCAACAATTTAGATTGTTTTTATTACTACTACAAATATTATTATTGATGTGTACACTTCATTTTTCTTGCATTTTACTTTTATTAGTATGAGTAATAACTACTTAGTTTTTCTAAAATGTGTACAGTGTCCCCACATGCATAGGGATATTCTCTCGGTCTCCCAACTCTCGGTCTCCTATTAAAATCACTCTTGATATAAACATGCTTTTAAAAATTAGAAATTACCATATAGTTAAATTTATGTACTTCATAAAGACGGTGAATCAAAGAGAAGAATGATTTGGAAACCCAGGAGGGAGAAAAGATTGGAGAGGATAGCATGTCACTGGAATTGTCTGGATGGGTCAAAAAACGGGGAGGGGGCGGGCTTCGATCTATAAGTCTGATGAAGCAGATACAATCAGAATGAATGAGGAAGTTACGGGTCTCATGCGGTTCGGCAGGCTCGGATAGAGTTTCAAGTTTATTTGTTTTATTTTTTTCTTTAGTGACAATTTATTTTTCATTATGTTTTGTTTCGTTTTTACTGTTCCTGTTTGTAAAACGATGGATTTGGATAGGGGTAATGGGAGGATTGCGGTAACTGTCTTTGACTCATTTGTGCCCATTAATGGATCAACGAATTATATTACTTCTTTGGAGGTGATTAATTCTGAGTCATATTCGCGGGACGGCGGTTGTCAGAAATCTTTTTGTCGGATTACCTACTATTTGAATGATGTGTTATCAATTTAAGTGTGTGTGAAGGTGTTCTAGAACAAATTAGACATCTCTTAATTTATTTTACATGCAATTATAATCCTAGTGGTAGTTCTAGGTTACAAGAGATATCAATTAAATCATTCATACACAAATTAAATAAAGATTTATGTAATTAATCCATCAAGAAAATAGTCATACGTCATGATTAACCCCTTCATCTATATCAAATCCCTAATTAAAACTACACACAATTTATAATTGAATCAACAATAGAATTTGGATGAAAAGAATTAATTGTCATTAATTAAAAAAATGGAACTTACAAAGAATCTCTTAATCTTGAAGAACAAGGCTTGAAAAGCTCTAAAAAAACGACCTAGGGTTTATCTCTCTAAGCTCCCCTCTGAAAAGCGGACAAAACAAGGCCTTATTTATAGAAAAAGTGAAAAAGGCCCGAAAATCAGGCCGCACGGCGTGTGGGTCACCGTGCGGCTGCGCGAGAAAAACGACGTGTCCGACATTTACTCCACCTGCACGGCGTGCAGGCAACCACATTGTACAACCGTGCGGGCACTTCTGCGGGGTGTTCTGGACCGCGGGGCGTGCGGTTTCAACCACGGGGCGAGCGGTTCAGAGTCCTTGACTTCTAGCTCCCAGAATCACCCGCGGGGCGTGCAGTACTTACCCGCGGGGCGCGCGGATGGTTCTTGAACCCTTTTTTTTTTTGCTCTTTTCTTCCTCGTTTGCTCCCGATCGATCCTATCTATAATCTTTAACCTTCCAAACCTCGAATCGTGCCTCTAAATCATCCTGTGTACCTACGATGTCTCTCGTCATCTCTCGAACACAACTCGAATCTCCTTAACTTGAGCTCAAACGCCGATGCCGGGTCCGAATTCTTCCTTTTCTTCAACGAGTGCAAACCAAACCCGGTAAACTGTGACCTGAGCTAAATAAACACTTTGTGAGTTTGTGACACAAAAAAATTAGGAAAAATGACAAAACTCAATCTGAACACTCATCAAATGCGTGTTGAAATACGAGCTTATCACTCACCCCATCGTTGTCACCATTATGATCACTGCCGCCACTACTATATAAAATGGAAATTGCTCGGCTAAAGCATGCACAAAGTTCAAAATACAACTTTCGTTATTAAATAGTAGCAACATTATTAGAAATCTTATACTATTCACGTGCTCTACTGTGACTATATTTTATTTAAACACTAAGTAATTAATTTGACTATAAAAGTTGTCACACGTTAAAATGGAAGCATTGTAACTAATAAAGAACGTAGGAAATATGTTTTATTCCCCAAAAATGACTTATTTAGTCCTATTAAAAGAATAAATTGATTAAAACATTCCAAAATAAAAGTAGATGAGTCATATTTTAGGAATAAAAACAAGATAGTCATATTTTTGAATTTAATCTTTGATTTAGTCCTATTTAGGGAATTTTCTTTTTTATAAAACTCTAATCCCTAAACTTTAAGGTATAAAATATATATCCAAAAAAGGATAACAATCCATCATTGAAGGCCCCAACACTGACTGGGTAGTTAATTGAAAGGATGTAAATCGGGTGCTAATCACAAACTTGCAGATATCGAGAGAGGCTCTAACTAGGTACTTGTAGAGGTCTTATGAATTTTTACATAGTAACCTCTCATTGCAATTGTCAGGATTTAAACCCGAGACTTACTCCTTGTGACACTCTCTATTTACTAGTTGGGCTCAAAATGAATCCCTAAACAGGCGCACTAATAAATGACCTACACTTGTTGGACATATATTAACTATATTTTCAACTGAACTGAAATTTTCTATTCTAGTCTTGCCTGATCTGCGCTATCAAGAATTGGTCTGGTATAATCTGACTTGGTTTGGTTTTGTCCACTAAATGTATGATCTCTGTGTATTTTTTATAATTGTCAAAGTGTCAGACTAGTGCCCGTTTGGTAATACCCAAATCCACTGTATTGTCTGATTCTACTGCAATTTATAAGATTGTAGCAAAATTGAGCGGATTGGCCTATTATGCTGATTTATGGGGAAAAAAATATGAAATCTTTATTTTATTAATAAAAAAATTATATGAAAAAACATCTAAAATGATCCTCTACATTAATTTTAGACAAAACAATCAGAAAAATAACTTCAATCTTACACTTTTTTTTACACAACTCCACGCGCGAAATGAAAAATTACGTGTTTGGTAAAAAAGTTAACAAATCTCTTATCCCCACCATAGGTGGAAGCCTTTGCGGCACTGGGGCATGATGATGGTGAAAAAGTTAATCGATAAGCCGGATAAGCTGAAAAACTGGATCACAAAACGGGCTCTAAAAATAAGCAAAAAAAAACATAATGAATATTTATTTTTACTAGCAAAATGGGAATTGAACAAGTATGGTAAACTAGAGTGATTTTTTTAAATATTACTGAAGTAAAATAAATGAGTAAATTTCTAAAATGTCATTAAAGGTTATTATTTAATGGCAAATTAATTATAACAATAATCGCTTAAATTATTACTGTACTTACAAGTATAAAAATAACTAGTATATTTTTATCTTACTTCCATTTTAACCATATATTTAACATTACATCACATTTTAGATACACAAATATTAAATTACTTCGTGGAGCAAGTATATAAATAAATATATTACATAAATTTCAAATCCAATAATAGTTATAAAAGCACACACGTGCTAATGTTACAAGAACCTGTCCTATTGAATTCATATTTGACACTTGTAAATGGTTTATTGGAGCATTACCCAGCTCCATATGAGCACTTTTATTTCTGATTTGTCTATTTCGTGATACAAATTAATTGAACCTTATTGCTTCTTCATCTACCCTCATTTTAACATTCACACCACTACATATTTCCCACATCTTCACCAAGTGCTGGAGGAATATCATTCTCATACTCGATTATCATGGACTCATGTTTCTTTTTAATGTACTCGGTTATCATAGTTATGCCGGCCTAAATCAAAGAAAAAGAAATTAAAATAAAACTGTTATATTCAATATATATGTATTCAAGGTTGAATCATTGTAATAGATCTGCTAATCGTGCAGCTCAAACTCTAGCAAGGCGGGCGTTTCTCAAACTGTAATTCCCGATCGTGTTGTAAACCATCTTATGAGCGGTTTACTTATTTAATGAGAAGGTGAATTTATCATTAAAAAACGTTGAACCATTTTTTTATCATAACGTTGAACCAATAAAAACTCAGTATAATACATACTATGTATTTACTTGTAGAATTTAGAATAAATTGTCATTTTATTAATATATATTGTAATAAGTGTCCAAAATCAAAGTAATAACTTTAGTCAAAGTAACTTGTGTTCAATTTTATACTAGGTGATCATGCACTATATATACTTAGGGAAAAGGTGCAAATAGGTCCATGTACTAACCAAAAAAGGTCAAATAAGCCCTTATTTAGGAGTCTCTGTCCGGCCCTCGCCATTTGGAGTGGTTCCCGGTGGAATTTTTTGATGAAATTGTTTGAGCATCTTATTCATTAAGTCTAGTTTACTCATACCAAATTTCAGCTAAAACTTCAATCGGGAAGGCATTCAAATGAATTCTTGAAGATAACTGCGCTTCTAACTGCGCAGTTATTTTCAAGAATTCATTTGAATGCCTTCCCGATTGAAGTTTTAGCTGAAATTTGGTATGAGTAAACTAGACTTAATGAATAAGATGCTCAAACAATTTCATCAAAAAATTCCACCGGGAACTACCTCAAATGATGACGGCCGGACAAAACTTCCTAAATAAGGGCTTATTTGACCTTTTTTGGTTAGTACAAGGGCCTATTTGCACCTTTTCCCTATATACTTATAAATAAACATTATTTTAGTGATATTTTTTTGGGGGATACTAGATCATGTATGATGTGTTTGATTATAGTTGAGGTTTGTTGTTTGAAAATACGACTTCGATCTAGAGTTTCTAACGCTAAAAAATAATACTCCTTAATAATGTTTTTCTAAAAATACGATTAAATTTACCGTAAAAAAATGCGATTAAATACTTCAAAATGTAAATATATTCAAATTAATTTTATTTCCCTCCGCTGTCTAATCAATTCAACTGTCTTTATCCTTCCACCGCTGTCGCCGGCAACCATTGTCCTGAGAGGAAATCCATTTTTTGGTGTGGAAAAGCCGCCGGGATCCACTGTTCAAAAAAAGTTCTGAAATGTTTTCAGCAAAAAATTGATAGAAAATGTTGCGGAAAAGTCATTAAAATCTCAAACACTTGGATTTGAAATCAATATTTTTTAGAATTAAAAAAACCCTTTGTTATTCTATGCTTGTCCAATGTAGGCCGTGC